ATATATATAAAAGTGTCAGACCTTCTGGAACAATTTCAAAAGTCAAATTGAAAAAATTAATTTTTTGTAAAAAAGTTGTCATTTTAAATCCCCCCTTGTGGACAGGTAAAGGGTCAAATATAAAAAAAATATATACCAAATAAAAGGTAATGATATCATGCATCTACATAAAAAAAAATTATATTGATTTGGTTATTTTTAAAAAAGTTATGGCAATTTTAAGTAAAAAAAATTGAAAAAATTTCGAAAATTAGCGATTTTTAAATTTGTAATTTTTTTGGAGGTTTCCCCCATTTACGGGGAACGAGGAAAATTTTTTCAATTTTTGAGGGTAATTTCTTCGACTAGATANTTTTTTGGAGGTTTCCCCCATTTACGGGGAACGAGGGAAATTTTTTCAATTTTTAAGGGTAATGTCTTCGACTAGATACGATTTGTGATCTTTTGACGTATCGTTGAAAGAAATCCGTTCGGTGAGAGCTGAGAAAAAGTGGTAAGAGACACAAAAAAAAAAAAAACACATCATAGTAAAACCAATACCTTCTCAGCTTCGCATCGAAGCTAAAAGTCTACATACAAATAAATCAATTATTCTGTTACACCGATTAATTAATAAATAAAATTTTATTTTATTTTATGTAAATTAAAATATAATCTATTAAATTTTCTTTTAGTTGAATAAAAAACAGATCAATGTAAATTTACTTATATATATATAATGTCCATTCGTTTTATTGTACTTATTGATAACTCAAATACTTGAATATTAAAATTCATAAAATTAATAGTGGTCTTAAAATATAATTTTAATACTCCACATTAAAGTTTTATGACTTCACCTAATTTTCATACCCTTTTAAATTGAAATAAAATTAACTACTTATACTCAAGCTAAAAATTACAGTTGCCAATTTTACAGTTTTAAGCGAGTTAGAAGTCTAATTTCATATCAAACAGTTATTTTTTCTATAGCTGATAAGTTGATAAGAGAATTATTCCAGCTGAATTGATCAGTAGAAAAATCTGTTTTAAGCGGTTACAACCGATTTTCAGTAACCTGGTTTTAGCTTTTGATCATAAGTATTATAATATATATTATAATATATATATAGACTGAAATCGTTTAATTTGTTTGGGGGTTCAATTTTGGTTTGAATCTTAGTCTTGTAAAATTATAGGTTTCTGTTAGATAAACCGAATATAATCGATTTTAAACGGTTTTAACCTGTTTTCAGTAAACCGATTTGAATACGCACTACGCATATATTTATCTCTACATATCATATTTAGAAATTAAATGTGTAAACTATAAAGCCATTCATTTTCGATACTATTAATAACATCATAATTTCGTTTAAAAATGATAATATTTGTATTTGTAACCAATTAACGAAAGATTAAACAATTTATCGTGTTCTATAAAAATTATTTGGAAGAACAAAGAAATCGCTGAACTAGAATTTTTCTATAAAATTCATGTAATGAGAAAGTATAATGCTACTAAAATCCATTACCAGTTATAATCCCTTATCTTCAAACCTAATGCAATTTACGAATTTAGGTAACTTTTGACTTTGAATTTTCTTATACTCATATTTTATAAATAAATTCTAGTTTAAATTACAACTGAATAAACATGAGATTTAAATTTTTATTGAATTTGCTAGCTAGGTGAATTTATTTTATTGTAACAAACATATTTTATATGAAATATGACATTAAAAAATCGTAGACGATTTCGAGTAGAATAAAACGGCGTTGCACAGGCTGTTCTTATTCAAATATTTTTAAATTAATAATTTTTCATAGTTCAAAACCATCAACTTGATTATTCGGTAATTTATATAAAAACATCAAATCATTTTTAACACGTTCCATTTTGAGAGTGCCTAAATTAAAACAATTAAATAGAAATAAATAAGATGAATGTGGTCTTTATAAATATTACAATTAATAGACACAAAACGCAAAAATCAGTTTTATGTGGAATTGTGTATACCCTCTATTAAATGATGAGGTGACCAAAACGATTAGTTATAATTGTGAATATATCTAATAACTATGACCGAACAACAAGAAAACAATAAAATATTTTTAAAGTAATGCATGTACCATAATAGAATATGTTACATATTCGAATTTTAACCATACATTTTTCTCAATTATTATTATTTGTTAAAAAAATACATTCCTTGAACTTTGTTATAAATAAAAATCTTTGTAATATATGAAATTTAGTTCATAATGTCTTAAGTAAATATTTTATATTCATATTATAATGATAAAATCTTAAATTATAATTGAACAAGGTCGCCACGCCACTCAGGCAACCGATTTGTTGTCGAATAAATAAAATAATTAATGACTCGTTTATCAACATTTAAAAAACGATTGAAAACAAATTTTGTATTTTAAAAATAAATAATTTTTTTGGATAGAAATGTAATTACTTCATATCTCAAAATAAAAAACAAAAGTTGGATATTATCATTTTGATTCAATTATCACGTATTTCCAAATATCAAAAAAAAAAAAAAAAATGTAGATACGGCATAGTAAATTATTAACGACAAAATTAAAGGATGAGAACAGGTTCTTAATTTTATTTATTTTATTATAGTGATTATCCCATAGATAAATTTATCATATAATTATATGATTATTAATAATATTTATATAAGAAAGTATTATACTTCTATTTTTATACTTCCTTCTATGATGTAGAATTACATTACTTAACTTAATCAAATTAAATTAGGATAATGTTACCTTTATAACTGGGTTTCAATTTCTATCAAGATATAATTTTTTCAGTAGGTTAATATTTTTTATATTTCAAAGATTAATTTGGTTTTGCGTCTTAGTTAAAAAACAACTTTTACTTTTACTTACAATTACGCATTAATAATTAATTGTGTCACTGGCGTATCAGGGACAATAACCCCTTGTAATAAAATTGATTCTTTAATTACTGTTATACATGGATTTTTTTTTTGCTGATTAATTTCATTTTAGTTTACATATTCTTGAAAAATATAAATTATTCTATAATTTTTGATTTTTGAAAAAAGAACACGATATTACACAATTAATTATTTATAAAAAATATTTTATTCACATTTTACGCAGAAATTAATAGTATCCTACGTTCTTTAATTTTCAACCTAAAAATGGTTCATGTACTCCTCTCCTCACTTAAAAACATACCAGAAAATTATCTATCTAAGAAAATGAATGGTCGACAACAACTATTGGACTAGTATTTTGAAAGGTATTAGAATTTTTATAATAAGGTGGGAGGTTTCATTAATGCCTAAAGATAAAAATAACAGACTCGTGCTTCACCTCTGTCTATGTATAAAAGAGTTGTTAAACTTCCAAAATACTAATCCAAAAAGAAAACATTTATTATGTTTAATATTTTTAAAGATATTGCGCTAGTTATAGTTAAACAATTACTCTGTACAGTGTAGTATGATAGTTTAATTTTTTGACTTGGAAATGACAAATTTGAACCCTCATTTTTATACTGATGTGTTTTTTATTTGTTATTTATTTAGAGAAACTTACGTTTCTGAAAAAGTGGCTAAGTAAGACATTCCGAGGACACGTATAGGATTTAGTTTCAAATACCATTACATTAATAGTGCTGGTTTTGTATTGGGCGAATTTTTGATTTGTAATGAGTCTACTAAATTATTCTGGCTTTGGTAAAAATTATCTGTGCGAGTTTTACAGTGAAAAATTACTTATTATAAATTGCGTTCAGCTCATAGCTAGCCAAAATGAAGTAGGAGGAATTATTAAAATGATTTGGAAGTGGGAGAAACAGCGACACTGGTGTAATTTTGCGTGACGGCCACATAGTAACACATGTTTTAACATTCATATTATAAATCATTATGATGAGCAGTATATAACAAAATATCAAAACCAAGTGACCTTGTCCTTCGCAATTTAAACAGATAGTTTTTTCGGCTTTATCATATCAATTGCCAATTAGTTCCGTATCATTCACTTAGTTGATAGCGAAGTGCAGTTTAGATTTGTATTTTTAATCTATTTTAGAACTAAAAAAACGCTTAAAGAGTTACGTATTAAAGAAAATTACTAAAATGCTATTACTTCCGACTCAAAGTGATCTTACTCGATTTTATGAAGATTTAGGTACATCTGAAAAACAAATTTCCGAAGATATAAAATCCATCGCTGGTTGGATTAAAATGCAACCGCATCTTTCAAGTGAAGAAAGTAAGACTCTTATTTAATTATACAAATTTTCAACAGCATATTCTTTAGTTAAAAGTTAAATTTCATTTAATAGCCATCACATATTTTTAAATATATGTATGTGTACATTTCATGAATAAATAATAAATTTTTGTGTTTTTTTTTATATTTTTAGTATTTTTATGATTTAAGGTAATTTAAAATGATTTTATTTTTACAGTCAATCAACGAAAGATTCAACTATTTATTATGTTCTGTAAAAACGATTTGGAAAGAACAAAGGAGTCACTGAATCAATATTATTCTGTTAAAACCAATGTGCCCAAATTCTTCACAAATTGGGATCCCACATCTCCAGAACAAATTCAGTCTGCAGATTACGGGTAACTATTTTTTTTTGAAACGAAAAAATGTTTGTAGAGTTGGATGATTTATCTCTCGTTTTTAATTTATTAAAAAAAATTCTACTTTAATTATTAACTGTAAAAGTGTATTTGGTAGTTTGAATAAAGTGAGCCCACAATAAAAATGACCAGGTGAGAAAATCACCTTTATAATATTTTTGTAAATCAATATACATTTTTCTTTTAATTTTGGGCATTAGACTCCCAAATACCTAGTTTTGTATATTATATTAATTTATATTTATCGTTACAAATATTTTAAATTAACTATATGTAATATAATGTATGTAAAGCCTAATATTTTTTCGCTTGCTACAAATACTGAGTAATATTTACAAATTAAAATTTCTCTACATATGAATGGACTTTTTTTTAAAGAATTCAGTCATTTTAATGAAGTTTTTGAAAAACAAAAAAAAAAAAATTATAACATTTCAATATTTATGTATTTGTTTTTTAAAAGTTTTAATGAACAAATAACGGTAATTTTAACACTAATCACGTTATCGTGTTAATTTGTACTTAGGTACACTGATACTAAATCTGATATATTGTTTTCATAAATATAGTGATTTAAGTATTTAAAACATATAGCGACTCATGTTTATTCTTAACGAAATAAGTTTTTATTAAATAAAATAAGTACAAAATTATTATTAAAAAAAACTAATTTTGCTGAAAAAAGTATTTATGACTAGTGAAAGAGTTGATTGAAAAATAACATATAATACTTAAAATATAATATTTTATAAAATAAAAATATATATTTATTTATTTAAATATATTTTTAAAATAGGTTTTATTATTTAAGAATAATTAGTTACAAAAACTATCTTATAAACTATTGACTGTTAAATGACTTATTTAAATTAGGTTTTCAAGTACAATTAAAACACTCTATAAATAAAGATAAAACGAGAAGAGTTTCTGCGTATCACCAATTAGACAAATTAGTTAGTTTTAGTATATGACACTCGAACACGCAAAACTATTTATTATTATTTTTAATTTATTAAGATTTTATTTTTAAAAATATTATACCTTAACTGTTATAAATACAAATGCAAGACAAAGTTATAATAAAAGAGAATCGACTTGTCTCTTTACATTACAATATTAAATCGAATAATTGTAATGCAAATTAATATAACAAACCAAGTATCGCTTTTTGATTAAAAAAAGTATGTTACGTCGCTATTTAGGGGTTTAGTCTAAATGCCCGTCGACAGTANAATGCGTTTTATTCAATTTTTGTTCTTTAAGCAAAATAGCTTTTCATTTATTCTTGAAATACAAATCCATTTTATGTGTGTATTTTTTTTTATTTTTAAATGTACTACTCGTTATTATTTCTGCATTTCATGATAACTCTTAAATAAAAAATTATAATATATAAGTAGATTCTCCTTTTTTTGTACGCGTGTTTATAAATCAATTGTTTTATATATGATGTTCAAAAATAATGAGATACTAATGAAGTAGTGGAGCTAAGCTTAAATTTTTTTTTAGAAAAATATTTACAATATTGTTTATTATTATTGTGTACATTGTTATACAAAAGATTTTTTAGGGGAAGGAAATACAATTAGGACCCTCACAAATTTTACTCTACTTTATTTACTTTACATTTAAGAAAACAAGTCATTTATTACACTTAAGAAAAATTTAATATCAAGAAGTTTTAAATCCCTTGTGGCTGAACAACTCCATTAAAACCATAAGACTAATTAAAAACGTAAATAATTACAAAGAACTTTTATGACATAAGGAAAGGAATAAAATGTTTAAAAATAAGAATAATTCAATTGGGCAATGACCCACTAAAATGTTCACTATTAAACTTGTGTAAAATAACAAAATGAAACAATCGACTAGACTATAATATCACTTTGAGATAACGTCACTAGGTGATAAGTCCACAATGGATATATACAGGATTTTTTTTTCTACAGAGTGTCAGTATGTGTTTAGTGCAGGTTATGGTAACATTGTTCCCGAAATACGTAACCAGAATTTTTTAGTGATTTTTGTAGATTTTGAATTAGATATTTTTTAGTTTTAAATTAATATTTTAAATAAGTATTTTATTATAAATAATGTTTGTTACAAGTGATCAATTTTATTTGTATAGAGTGCTGAGTAAGTAAGAAAATGGGTTTCTATTGTTCTTACTGTTTGTAACAATTGACCTGTTTCCTTACTTTTTGAACACTGTTTATTACGAACAATATTATTTGTAGCAAAGAAAATAGTATTATTTGTACTCATGCAGGAATAAAAAATACCCCTTTCCTTACTTTCTACACACCTTGTAAAAACCCTTTTATATTTTTTGTGATTTAAATACAGAACGATATTTTTTCAGCATAAAAATTATTCATGTACATAATTTTGAAATAACTCAAAGACCAAAAACATATAGTGACGGTCAATAACTTAGTGTTGTTCTATTACGTAATATTAAGAATTTATTAACTTAAGACGACGCGTAAGTATAAGGTCACAAGTCTAAAATACTAAATTTTCAGAAGGGTCAAAACCATTTTAGCTTCGATGCGAAGCTGAGAAGGTATTGGTTTTACTAAGATGTGTTTTTTTTTTTTTTTT